AATAAGTATTTCATGCGCACGTTAAACTTATTGCGTGGCCACGAAATAGTATTTCGTGCGCACGTTATACTTATTGCGTGGCCACGAAATACTATTTCGTGGCCACAATAAAATTTTTTTTTTGACCATGTCATCAGAGGGGCTCTGTAATTTTCTATTCATTTCACAACGTATGGTGGTAAGTAAGTGTGACTTTTCAGGAAAACACAAAATTGTACACAGTAGTGTATATATAGTGCTGTAAAACTAATAAATGAATAAAAAGAAGATACAGCTTTACGATCAACCGGAAACACGCAGAACCAGTTATATCTGATATAATTTATCAGATGAAATTGTGCTTATAAAACTTTTTAAATAAAGATTTTTAATGCCGCGATAATTACATTTAATGAATTTTAATGCCAATTAAATTAAAAATTAAAAAAGCCTTAATTTAAAAATAATAATTTAATTACTTTTAATTATTTTTAATGATCCGCTGAACACTTCCAGTTATTTACAGCTAAAGGTTATAATTATCTTGTTTGGACAATAATAAAAGGACTGCAGCAAAAATGTTGTAAGTAAGGTTCAAAAGAAAAAGGGGAAAAAAAATAGTAATTGGCTCAGGCTAGAGACTTACTTGGGCTGTTGGCAGAGAAGCGTGCACGGCGGGGTGCGGCCTCCTCCGGCAGCATCTGGAAGCCGGAGGTTAAGCAGAGTGAGAGGAGGAAGAGCAGGGCCAAGCTGCGCAGCATCTTCTCTACGGGGCTGATGAATTTAAAGATGTACTTTCCCCTCCCGTGATAGCAAGTGTGCGTTGAGGCTATGACTTACCAGCGAAAATTTATATAGAGCTGGTACTGAAGCAACCAATAAGAGCGTGCCGTTTCCACAGGGGGCAGGATCATGGTTTATTCATGAGTGTAATTAACTTCCACAGCTAAGTGAATATTTCCACAAAAATAAACAGTTACTGAGATTAACCTTTGTCGGTGTTTGCTCTTCACTTAATGAACATGTCCTCAGCAATAAAAATCTTGTAAAATAAAATGAAAACCCTGTATCACATTTAAACAGAATGTGTATATTTTCCCCGCTACGCTAAGCGGAACCTTGGATCTTTATCTTTATTTATCACTCTTTTCATATAAGCCAGAGGATCTGATTCTAGTCACGTTCTTTGCGTTTCCTGTAAGGTTACGCCTACTACACAAGAGCAACCATAGGATGTGACGGACAGTGGAAAGAAGGAGACCTGTGGACCCAGAACTTCATGGAAAAGTTAACTTTCAAAACAGCTCTTATGGAAAAATACAGTCCTCGAATGGAATGCCTAAATCAAATTGTCAAACAGCTAAATTAAAAAAGCTGAATCAAATGTAAAGTAAATAACTAAAGGGATTAAATGAAAGCTTTGGTAAGAAAAATTTTGCAACATGTTAGCAGTTGACTGTGGCAGTATTTGAAAATTATGGTGTACTAGGGCTAGATAAAAAAAAATGTAATTGTAATTTTGCCCTGACAATATGTTCTGATATCAATATGCACCTGCACACATATACCTATTACATCAGAACTTTTAAGTTATGCATTTCTCAGATCTTTGTTGTTAATTAGACTAACAATAAAACTTATGTTTTCAAATTCCAATATTAAGTTATAAAGGCTACACAACTCGAAGGTTCTATACAAATAAAATGGTTGAGTAATTTTTCCAAAGATGAAAGTATATCCCTAATAATTAACAGTTTTTGCAAAATTTTACTTAAAATTTTGATATTATGCAAAAGGTCACAAATGCTGTCTGTGTAGTCAAAAAGAAAAACAATGTAATGCTGGGAACCTAACTTTAAATACTTGCTTAATGAAATATGCTCTGTGCTTAAAAATATACTATTTTAGTTTAATCACAAAGTATTGAAGATGTAACGTTGACTCTTTTCACTGTTCTTGTAGGGAAATTCACACATTTTGCTTGGCTTCATTTGAACCCTTTATCTTTACTGTACCAACTCCATCAGCCTGATATCATAGTGCCTACTGGCCATAGCTGTAAAGGCTCCAGTTTGAGCAGTTATTTATTTAAGCATACTTTCCCACCATTTTCCCATATTAATAATCTGCAGTAAATCTGCCATATACCGTATTTTCACGACCATAAGGCGCACCGGACTAAAAGGCGCACTCT